AAGAGAAGAGAGAAGAATAGGGAATAGGGAAGAGAAGAGACAAATAGAGAAAAGAGAAGAGAAGAATAGAGAGTAGAAGAGAGAAGAGAAGAAGAGAGAAGAGAAGAAGAGAGAGTAGAAGAGAAGAGAGAAGTGAAAAGAGAAGAGGGAAGAGAAGAATAGAGAATAGAAGAGAGAAGAGAAGAGAATTCTTTATTGGCCAAGTATGATTGGACACACAAGGAATTTGTCTATGGTGCATAGTGCATAGTCTACATAAAAGAAAAGATACATCCGTCATGAATCATAAAGTACAACACTTAATGATAGTCATAGGATACAAATAAGCAATCAAATCATACTAGGAAACAAACAATATAAATTGTAAGGATACAAGCAACAGACTTACAGTCATCAATGGGAGGAGATGGGTGATAGGAACAACGAGAAGATTAATAGTAGTAGTAATGCAGACTTGGTAAATAGTTTGACAGTGTTGGGGGAATTATTTGTTTAGCAGAGTGATGGCGTTCAGGGGAAAAAAAACTGTTCTTGTGTTCTAGTTGTTCTGGTGTGCAGTGCTATATAGCATTGTTTTGAGGGTAAGGAGTTGGTGGCATGGCCTTCACAATGGAGAGGACTTTGCCGGTTGCTTCCTTCCTTCCAGATCGTGACCACTTCCAGCTGGGCTCTCTTTCACACCTCCTCAATGCCAAAGCGGTGGGCTACCAGGAGCTTCCTGATTGGCCAAGTGAAGCTCCGGATCCTTCTGTGCGCAACGTGGAGGTAGGACCAGCCTTCTCTTTATTGAGGATGGGATGTGGGGGACTCTTGAAGCTGGTTCTACTCCTTGATAGTCTGAAATTATTGAGTGTCAACATGTCAATGATCCAGTCTTTGGCTTGTACGAGAGCCATTACTTGTTGTGGCAGATGAGGCCACCATACCTTCTGCAGATCACTTGTGCTTGCATTATCCAGTGGTATGTATTATTCTGTTGTTGTTTTTTAATGAAAGGTTGGTTCCTACACCCCGTGCTTATTTTTTTAGGAAGACTCCATTGATCCTAGAGGAAGCTACATTGGGCTACTGGGTGGACCCAAAGAGGTGGAGCTTGCGTGTGCAGTTTATGCTTTTCCATTCTCCTCCTCCTCTTCCTCCTCCTCTTCCAGCTTCTCTCCCTTGTGCTGTGCATCTCTTGACTGTGTGCTAGTTAGGACTTTCAATCCTAAAGATTGAAAATTATTTTTGATGGACTGAAAAAAGGGCTTGTGGGTTTATTTCAGGGGTGGTGGGTTTCCAAAATTGTTGGAAACTACTATGTGGGTGTGGGCTCCTTTGTGGGAGTGGCTTGCCACCCATGTGACCGGATGGGAGTGGCTTGCC